TTTATTGTAAGAATGGGCTACGTAATACCCTTGTAAAAGTATTTTAAACTGTATAAAAAAAATTGAAATCAATTGTGGAAATCCATTCCTTATATAGGACGTTCCCTCCTGTTGGTAAAATAGGAAGTTCTTTTTCTTCCACATCTTCATTATTTCTAACACAATCACAAAGAGCATCTCTATTTAATTTAGTTTCTAACCTTTTACATCTCTTACATTTTGGAACTCTTCAGTCACTTTACTTCATGTTCTAATTTGACAGACTGATTGATTTTCATTATTTTCAAAATGAGAGCAAAAATCATGAGTTCCTTCTTTGTTTCACTCTTCTAAGCCCAAAATTATGTAAAGGAGTCCTCTCATAATTACTTGACTCTAACTTCTATTCAAGTCAATAACACTTGAGTTTGGTGTTTGGTTTTTTCCACTAAGTGTTGGACTTTAGTTTTTGCTTTTTCTTTAAAGATTTTGAATTTGCTTGGTAATTTTGGTGAAGGTTTATTGCCCAAATATAGTTTACTAATTGAACCTAATTTTTCCTGTAAATCCTCAATTTCAGTTTTTTGATTTGCATTTTTTTCAAGTGCTTTTCTCAATAGTTCTTCTTGCCCATACAGTTTTGTTTCCAATTGTTCAATGTATTCTTTTTGGTTCTTATGTTCTTTGTATAATTGCCCCAAAAGTTCATTGCCAGCATTTTCCAATTCTGCTTTCTATATCTTATTCTCCATTCCATTGCTTTATCTAGTGCTTTCTTAGCTTCTTGTTCCATTCCCACCTCATCTTCCAACTCTTCCATCCATGCTTCTAGTTCATTTCTTTCTGCTTCTAAATTTTTAATTTAAACTACTGATTTTTGACCAACTTCCTGAATACTCTGAAGCTAATTCATTTGAATAATCAATAAATCCTTCTAACATTTCTTCAATTGCAATGTTATCAAATCAAACTCTTTTACAATTCTTAGCTCATTCTCTAGTTTCATTAGGGTCTACTGCCATTCTTAGTTTACCTTCATCCATTCACTTTTTGTTTAGTTTTTTGTATCATCATGTTCCCCTAGGAGCATAAAGGCTAACTTCACCCTTGTCATTAAGAGACTGACCAGTGACATTTCAGTTTTTTAATTTGAGTTCTTCTATTTCTTCTTCTCTTTTTTTATCAATATTATTGATTTCTTATATTAGTTTTTTATTACTTTCTTGGAGTTCATTTATTGTGTTTACCATGATTTTCTTTTTTATTTATTTTGCTCTTTTAATATACTTCTATCCTTTTTATGAGGGCATATTAAGTATATAGATTATTTTAGTACTTTTTTACTTTAAAGGTGGAAAAGCTAACAATATTTGTCAAAAGATTAAACTTATTAGACTTAGTGATAGTAAGAGATAAATTAACAAGTGATGAAGTCATAGAGGTGATTTTATCCTAAATATTTTATTCATTGCCAGCATAAATTGATCTTGGACAAGTAATATCTTTGAATTCATCTTACTTTCACAAATGGGCAAATATTATGATAAAGATATCCTTGTCTTTTGTAGCCCAAAGGAGGTGGTGTTAACATTAAAATAGATAAAGCTCTAATTTCTTCAAAGATATCTGCTTTCTTGGTTTTCAATAAATTGAATTCAGCAAAAGGTCCATTAGTGACTTCTTGAACCTTCACTATACCAAGATTAGATGCTTCAAAAAGAAAATGTTGATATTTTTGTATACTTGGTAATTTCTTAAAATAAATTCCCAAAATTGCTTTAATATCTAAGTTATCTGATCAGCCAAAAAAAGTGGCAAAAGTCATTCATATTCCTTAGCAATTCATGCCAAATTCAACTAAGATTGCTTGCTGAAACCTCTTAGTGACTGTTGAAACTCTGTTGAAACTCTAATGAACAATTAGTATATACCTTGTCAAAACTCTGACGATTGACAAAACCCCAAATGTGAAACTCTGCCAAAACTCTAATTAACAATTAATGTGTAACCTGTCGAAACTATGTCGATTGTTTTCTGGAGAAGTTTCGCCCACAACCTTAGGTTGAATAACAGGCATAATCTGAGTTTGAACATTACCATGGCTAGTAAATGTATTAGGTTTTCTTTCAAGCCACATATTTTTTGTTACGCACCTAAGAAATTGAAACTAAGTAAATTTCGTGTAACAACTTTTTTTTTCATAAAATATTTTCTACAACATACGTTTGATTTATTTGATTTATTTATTTCCTTTTTTTTTTATTAATAAATAAAAGTTCTTTACAACAAAAAAGTTTAACGAACATATTACATTAAAGAAAATCATTATCAAATTTGGTCGTGAAATTCAAAATATTGTAACACGAAAATTATTGTTGTATTTCTGAGCATAACTTTCAAATTTATGGAAAGAAAATATGAAACAAATTTTTTTTTTTAGATTAATAGACTCCTTTTTTAAAGCTGAATTGAATGGTGGTGGGTTTTTAAAAATCCAATGTGTGGATCGCATAATATTTCGAAAATTTTAACTTTTGGGTGATCCGCACAAAAATATCCGCAGCATCATGAGAATATCCAATTTTATTGGTGTGGGTGCGTGTTATCCTTATTTAGAAATCGATTTGGCGATTGCGGATATTTTTTGTGGATAACTACATGATAATGTACCAACCAATCTTCACTTGAGATTATTATCGTTATTTTTGTTTATAAAAAAAATGATGATTTATAAATTAACAAAATATCTAAAGAACAATTTACACGGATTAAAATTTATAAATTATAATAACAAAAGTCCTCAACCAGGCGATAAAGGTAATTAATTGACCATAAAAATCATAAGTATAAATTTTTAATTAATATATCATTTATGGTAGTTATAGTAGCAATGTCAGGAGGTGTTGATTCAAGTGTATCTGCTTATTTATTAAAAAGGCAGGTAAATTTTTTGCAATAATTTTCTCATTGGAAAAAAAATTTTTTGATAGCCAACTTTAACTAATCATCGGTAATTGTTATGATTACTATTGATCTTTTAGGGTTATTTGGTAGAAGGCATTTATATGCGTAATTGGGATTTGGTGGATGATATAGGTGCATGTACAAGCGATAGAGATTGGTCAGATGTACAAAAAGTATGTGAACAATTAGAAATACCTTGCAATCAGGTAATGAATAAGATCTTTTTTTAATCTAATTAATTTATTAAATCTACACACATACATGTAATTGAAATGTATATGTGTGTGTGTGTATGTATGTATGTATGTTCCTTAATTTCTAAATCTCTTTAATAAAGATTAATCTTACTAAAGAATATTGGTTAAATGTGTTTATTAAAATGATTCATGATTATGAAAATGGTATAACGCCTAATCCTGATATTATATGCAATCGTGAAATTAAATTTGGAGTGTTCTTGGATAAATGTTTGAATTCTTCTACATCAATCAGTCAAAATGAAAATAGTACAACTTGGATTGCAACAGGTAAAATTAATAATATATTTATATTTATACTTGTATTTACATTTATATATTTATTTTATTTTTTGGCTCAATAGGACATTATGCTAGACTTGAATATAACAATTTAGGAAGAATAAAGTTATTAAGAGGTAATCTGATAATAATAATGATGATGATGATGATGATGATAGGATAAAGTCACTTATTAATGAATATATATAGGCGTTGATACTCTTAAAGATCAAAGTTATTTTTTGTCAACAGTTTCAGAAGGAAAATTAAAAAAAGTAATTAATTAAATATAATTAATTATTATAATTAAATGTTATAATTTAATTATATGGATTTCTATTTATATTTTGCCAGGTAATATTTCCAATTGGAAATTTATATAAAACAAATGTTAAATCAATAGCAAAAGAATTGAATCTGATCACAGCAAGTAAACCCGAAAGTATGGGTGTTTGTTTCATTGGTGAAAAAAAGAAATTTTCAGATTTCTTGGAACAATTCATTCACAGAAAAAATGGTAAAATCTTGACAATTGATGGAAAAGTAATTGGTAAAAAATCATACAATAATAATATTATTATTAATAATAATATTTTGAGTTTATATGGTAAAATGTTATTGTTATTGTTATTAATATTGACAGGTGAACATAAAGGATTATTTGCATATACAATTGGGCAATGTGTAAAAATCAATTATTTACAAGAAAGGTAATAAATAATAATTTATGTCTGATAATAATAAATACATTTTAACATTAATTATTTATTGTTTAGATGGTTTGTATTAAAAATAAATGTTGAAGATAATACTTTAATTGTGGTACCTGGATCGTAAGTAATCACAATAATATTATTGGCAAGTGGTATTCATATTATCAATTATATATCAATAATGGTAATTTTGTAGAACAAATTCATTATTATATTCCAAAAAACTTGTTGCAAAAGATTGGATCTGGATTTGGAATGACTTACCAAAAGAAATTTTGCAAAGTAATTAAATTACTATTATTATTCCATATTTGTTATTATTTTACTAATTATAATTAATTAGGTGATGATTTACATGCACAAATTAGATATAGACAAACACCAGGTTTGCATAGATAGAAACTTCATTTTTATGTCAAAACAGATCATATTAATTATTTTATCTATTTTATAGTAAAATGTAAAATTATTGAATTTGATCATAATAACAACAAACATATTATTGAATTCAAAGAATCAGTAAGAGCAATTGCTCCTGGTCAAGTAAGTAACCTTCTATAATAATTAACTTATTGTAATTTATTTACATAATTAAATTATTATTATTATTGTCATTATTACTGAAATCTAGAATGTTGTTATTTGGTATAATAATTATTGGTGCCTTGGTAGTGGTGTAATTGAAAAATCTTTGATTTAATTATCTATGATGGAAAAATAAAAAATCCTTGCCATCAATCAAAAATCAAGGATTAAATTTTTGCATTTGTTTATTAATATTATCATAAGAATCTAATTTAATGATGTTGAGTTGTTGATAGACTAGATGGTTATTTATCCACTATTCAATCAGCATCTTTACTATTGGTAGTTGAATCATTATTAATGTTGATTCATTCTTATTGTACATTCATTTTAATATTGACTTTGAAATTCCTATCCTGCCTGATTCCTTATTATTAAGTGATTATACTACACATAATTTATTTATTAATAATATGATATGTTAGATTTGTTGAACTTTATCCATTTATCAGACATTTCCACTATTTGATTTTTCAGACATGCAATACTGCTGTGTTGTTTCAATGTAAAAGAAGGAATTAAAAATAACAAATTCAGTTGGTCAAATAAAAATTAAAGAAACAGAATGTTTGGGAAAATGATTAATTTATGTATAACATACCAAACAAAATCTGAACCATTTTATTTTACAGCCTTCCTTCTAACATCAAAGCCCAAATGCAATTTCAGGGTTACCAAACCCACTCTGAATTGCAAATTTCCTCCCTGTGCTTGGAACAATTTGCAGATTCTTGTTGCATTGATGTATCTGGATGTTTACATGGCACTACAATTCATCAACAGAGTTGTGACAGCCTGGTCACAGAGCCAGCCTAGAGGTAGGATCATTGCAGGAGACTTGTTACCTAACATGTCAGCAACCTTCTCTGGTCTGGGTGCTGTGAGGAAAGATTATCAGAAGTGTCCTTGACAATGATGCAGTTTGATAAACTCCAGAGCCTTGCACCCCCCCCCCCCTTGGAATTTAATTGCATCATCATATCATCAAGTGTAGCAGGTCAGATTAGCCTTGTGCACATGAGAAACATGTGAGAATGACTGTAAAGTGCTCAAGGTAGCATGCGTGTTTCAACACTTGCTAATTTCTGATAATCAAACATTGCATATTTGAATTGTTTCTTTTTCAACAATGTGCTGCCTTGACATCTTGTAGTTATTTATAATAATAATAATATGATATTGATTACGAAAAGCAAAATACCAATTGTTTACCATCTGATAAGAATCTAATAATTACCCAGCAAGATTTGCACAGCATAGTGGAAGTTTGTTGTTACACGAATTGTTATACAGAACTCATTACTCCTGAAACACAGTTGTTTCCTCTCTAAATTGGAGATCAAGTTCAGATCCAATTCAAATCCAGTTTATCACTTACTTTTTTATTGCCAGAATATTTGCCGTGTATTGTAAAGCTACGTTGCACAATATAAAAATTAGTGTAACATTTCAAATTTCCACTATGCTGGTGACACCAACATGACAAAAATCTCATGAATTTTTAGATATTATCAGTTACCTTAAAATATAAAATATAATAAATAGCTGATTATACAACAATGGCTAATAATAATCATGTAAAAGGAACTGATAAAGTTTTACAAAAGCTTAAAGAGTCAGTTGATAATGCCAATTATTATGAAGCTCATCAAATGTATCGTACTGTATGTAGACGGTAAGTAAACGAATAAAAATTTTTCAAGAAACCAATATTTAAATTAATATTATTTCAAACATATGTACGTACATACACGAATATATACGCATATTATATAGCTATATTAAACAGAAAAAGTACAGTAATGCAGTAGAACTTTTATTTTCTGGAGCTCAAACATTACTTAAACATCAACAAGGTGGCAGTGGAACTGATTTAGCATTGTATATGATTGAAGCTTACATTGAAGAACAATTACCTGTAACTGATGAATCGAGATGTATGTTATACCATTTTGTAAAATAATCATTATTCGGTAAAAAAAAATAAAAAAATGATAATTATTTATATTTTTTCTACAATGGAAACAAAATTGCATTGACAATAATAATAACAATAATAATATAATAAAGCTCGAATTATTCAATTATTGGAATTATTTCCACCTAATGAAATTGGTCGTAAAAAATTTATCGATGCAGCAGTTAGGTGAAAAAAATCAATTCATTCATTTGTATATATCTTTTATTGTAATATATAATATTGAGTTATATTTATTTATAGTTGGTCTGTTAAATTTGGCGAAAGTCGAGCAGGCGATCCTGAATTACACCATTATGTCGGTGAATTATTTTGGAAAGGTATCATTATTACTATTAATACTATTATAATTACTATTATTAAGAAGATATACTAATTGCGATATTAATAATAATAAAATAATAATATTGATTGATTCCTTTCTTTTTTAGATAAGAATTATTCAGAAGCTGAACCTCATTTTTTGGCTGGAACATCTGAAAGTAGTAAATCATATGGTAAAATGTTAGCAGAATGGTCTGAAAAAGATCAATTTGACAAATCAGGACTATATATAGCACGTGCAGTACTTCAGTAAGTTTTTTATTACATATATATGTTTTTATTTATAAATGTATATATATACATATATACATATATATATATATTTAAACTTAAACTTATTATTCATTATAGATATTTATGTTTAAGAAGTATCAAAGATGCAAAAATTTCTTTTGACACATTTATTTCTTCCAAACAGCAACAACAGTCAAATGATATAAAAACAGGAGTTGCCCAATATAGACCAACAATAACGGGTGATCCTATTGAAATTCCAATTTATTCACTACCATTATTAAATTTTCTACAACTATTAATTTTGACGGTTCAAAGAGATGCGGCAGATCTTTTTATTTCTTTAAGAAATAAATATAAGAGCGTTTTATCGATCGATCAATCCGACAATGTAAGTTTATTGAGAGTGTGCGTGGGAGAAATTATTTTAATATTATATTTTATTTTATTTTAATATTTATTGTTATCATTACATATTTACATTTGCACATTTATTACGTAGCTTTTAAACAAAATTGGCGACGTATTCTTTAATATAAAACCACAAAGACCACAACAATTCAATGTCTTTCAAGATCTTATGAGTAGCTTATTTCAAGGACCAATGATGGGTGGTGGCGGTGGCGGTGGCGGTGGTGGAAGATTTGGCGGAAGCTCATCATCAGCATCACAGTCAAATTCACATTCAAGAATTAATTCATCAAGTGAATTGGATTAAGTAAATAAATAAATATATAAACAAAATATAAGTTAGAAAATTATTATGATTCTAATATTTTTATTAAAAACGAATATTTTTTTTTACAACTTAATTTTTATTTAATTATTTATAATAAATAAACGCTATTCATTTTTTCTAATTGATATATAACCAACACTATTAATTAAATTTTGAATTGATTTATCAATATCATCTTCTCCATCATCATCATTAGTTTTCTTATCACCACCAATTTTTATTATTCTTTTTCTTCCAACCATTGCATAATTTTTTGTGCTTGGTATTCTTAACCAATCATATTCTAATGTAAATCCACATTGTTCAATAATTTCTTTAATATATTCTTGATAAGCTTTATACTTACCATTAGTGATTTTTTTATTGTTAAAAGTATATTTGAAGCCTGATAAAGAATAAAAACAACAAGGAATCACCATAAATCTAGTATATGGAAAGTGAAAAAAGGTAATTTGATTAAAGAAAATAACAATTAAATTATGTAATAAATAAATTGTGTGTGAATTTACGAAAATTACTTTGAATTTTTTGATGATTTTGCAGAAATTATTGGAATCCTGATCAATATTGGTAACAATAACAATAACAATAATAATAAATAGAAATAAATAAATAAACCAGTCAGTCAATCACTCATTCAAATAATAATTTTAATATTAAATATCAAATTTTTACCAAGGCACAAGTTCATCTGCATGATTTCCAATAATCCAATCATGATTTGGAAATGTTATAATATTTGGTTGTAATGTTTGAACTGTAAAATATTATTAATTAATGTAATATAATCAACATAACCGATAAGGAACGCCAATAATAATTATAATAATTATAATAATCATCATTTACCACTGACACAATCTTTTTACCATGTAATTTTGCTCCTTTGGATATAAATAAATCCCAAATTTTTCTTTTTCTTAAATCAATTCCAATTCCATCATATCCTTCACTTGTTAGAATATAAGTTAATAATCCATTACCACATCCTAAGTCAACAAATGTTTGTAATTTTGCTTTTTGTTGCTGTTGCTTTTGTTGACCATCATCGTTATTGTCAGCATTATCATTATTGTTAATATTACAATTATCATCAACACTATTGTTTTTGTTATTTTCAATATTATAGTTATTATCAATATTATTATTATTGAATTGGTTTCTTTCATCTTCCCATAATGATATCAGCCAACATGCAATAGCAATATCTTCAAATATAAATTTAACTGGATCAGTTTTTTCAATCCAATTTCTAAATTAATTGAT